CTTACATTATCTCTCCTCCATAAAGATTTATGTTCTTGAGAAACATATGTATATCAAACCAGGTATCCAGACTAGCATGTTCTGAGCACATGTGACATCCAAGCCAATGGCTAGGGCCACTGCCTTTCTGTCTTACCATTAATGCACAAGTAATGGTTGTTTTTCTTAACACCAGTTCTTATGCAATTGTGGATCAATGGAAAAGCCACTCCTTTAGGAGAAAACACAATATACAGTATCTGGAAGACAATAGAAAAATAAATACAATCTTGTTTATAAGGAGGAAGAATAATGAAAACCCATTGTGAAGTCCAAAATACAGCAGGACAGTGCAAATGGACAATCATGGAGGAAACAGATTACTTTATTACTTCAGTAAGAGGAAGAAGGCTTGGAAAATGTATGGACAAAGAGGCCAACAAAAGACACCAGTTTTTAGGGCAGGATTTGCTGAAGCATGACTTTTACAACATTTTATAACACGATTGTCACTGCCTAGCTAATTCTAGCTCTTCTAAATCCAGCCCTCGGAGATATTTCAGGGATATCTTTATTGCAAAGTGAAAGGTTGGCATATAGCAGATAATAAGCTTTGGCATGAACAATACTTTGGCAATCCTTTTGATTTTCTACCATATATAAAGGTACAAAGGGTCATGCTGCTGCTATACTCTGCTCTACTATTCACATATCTGAAATAGGATTTACTGGATTTTTGCCAAAGAAATCAAAGAAAAGTGACTTAATAATAACCAAAGAGGCCAGCATAATTGGATACGGCATACAAGCTCTTTCTGCCATTCAAACTTTTCCACCAGTCTTTTAATAATGCATATACATATCTGAAAAAGCCAATGCCAAAATGTGATTATGTACTAGCATACCTTAAGCAATATTTCTTTGGTATTATGATTATGATGCTCTCATGCTGACTGTGATAAAGTCAACATATATGCCATTATATTCACATTTAGAGGCTATGAGTAGTGATGGCTTTGGTAAACAGTGTACAGTATATAATAAGCACCTAAGGCTAGCCATAGATGACTCTTCTTTTTTCATGAAAAATAATGAATTGATTCCTCTATCAACACAAGCAAGGTGGATAGAGGAATCCTCCCTGCTGAGACACTGTATTCTGGCAGCAGTGATGCTCTGTTGTCAGATTACACTGATCAGTAGCTGCAGCGGATTGGCTACAGCCAGCTGATTAAGAAAAATTTTCCAACAAATCCATTTGACAGATTGTTATACCGACACCTGTCGACGTTTGATTCATCCATGGCCAGCTTAGGTCTGAATGGAGTCTAAACAGGTAAAAACGTGCACCACATTTGTGTGCCTTTTTTTAAGAGCTCTATGAAATCACATTTCCCCACAGAATAAAATAAGATTCAATTTGTGTCTCTAGTCATCTCTAATCATAGCATTGGAAGATCAGGCACTGTCTGCTGCAGAGCTTCTATTGGGAGTACCTTCAGGAATCTTACATCAGCCTTTAGTCTATTGAATATTTAATGGACTCACTCACACGCCTCAAGAAGTTCACTCCCAGGGCCATAGCTGACTGTCATGGGTGGTCATACAACTGTCTGTATTTATACATTTATAGATATAGCAACAGGTGACTTTATCATAGGTATTCTAAATAAAAGCACCAATATAGCTTTTTAGGAATATCATTTGAACAGCACAGAAACTTATCAGTATTTTAAACCTTCCTACCTACCTGTTTTGCATCTAAGATGTACATTGATCATGTAGTTGCGTTGGGGTTTATTTTTATTAAAGTGGGAGAGTAAGAATCAGGATCACTTCTGCTTAGAAACCAATCAGCTTCTAACCTCAGCTTGTTCAGTGAAGCTTTGGCAATAAAACCTGGAAACTGATTGGCTTCTATGCAGACTTGAGCCTGATTTTGCACTCTCCAGCTTTAGTAAATAAACCCCATTGACTCATTTGTTGCCTTGTAAGCACAGCCAGTAGCCAAGTCTTCACATTCCCGTATCAGAAATGTCAGTTTGTGTAGGAAAATGAAACATGTGACATGGCACTACACAGATTAATGCATTACCTCTATCTGTACTGTAGTGTGAGATCTGACACTTCCTGTGAAGAAACTACATATCCCACAATCTCTGGGTCTATTGGTCTAGTGCTCTGCAGCTAAACAGTATTTAGATCTGACTCAGAGACAAATAGGCAATTAACAGAGAAACCATCATGCAGTGTTTTAGCACATTAACACTTCCAAATCTGTGATGCAACGCACAGAAAATGGATTTTGTTTTTTTTTATAAGATCTTTATTAAATTTTTTAGCAATACAAAACCACTTTATCTCAACACATTACAAAACTATAATTTTCAAACAACTATTCCCAATTCTCTACCCCCATTCCCATCCCACATCCCTCCCCTGCCCCCCCCAAATCCTCTCCCTACTTTCATCAACTTCTTGTTTCTCAAGTACTTCTCCATCTATCTTCACCTCACTCCTCTCTATTCATCTCATTCTATCTCTCCGCAAAAACCTTCCATCTTCTCGTTTTTCTCTCCATGTTCTTTATACTCCAATTAATTCAAGGCATCTTTTTAATATTTTAAAATCACTCCATCTTTCCCATATCTTTCTAAATATTTCTATTGTGTCTTCTCCAATATGGTACAGTTCCTCCATCCTGTATCTATGCTCCACTCTATACATCTAATCTTTTATTTTTGGGGTCTCCTGTACCTGCCAAAATTTGGGGATCAGTCCTTTTGCCGTGTTTATTAGGTGGAATATCAGCCTATTTTTATAATCCTTCCCTTTAATCTCTGATTTGTGGAATAAACAAACCCAAGGATCTTTTAATAAACTAATCTCCAACATTTCTGGTGAGGTATGGATTTGACTCTGTGTGACCCGCAACAAAAAGTTGCCTGTCCCTTTAGCGAATAGGGACAAGCACACTGAATAAATACATGGACACAGAGGAATCAATCAGCCATGATACTACAAATTGCAGCCACAACACCTGAGCCTTTTCATTACAAAGTATGGAAAACAAATGATACAGAGAATTTAACTACACTAATACCTAGGTAAAACATCAAAGACATTTGAAAGAGTGCCTTTAAAGTTACATTTAATCTGATTATATTTTGCCTTCCCTGGTTCCTCATTTCCTTCTCATCAACATACTAATTACATAAAAATAATCTGTTTTTTATTATATAATTTATCTTACACCCAGACATGTCATCACTGGGTTTCTGTAATTCTATATGATATACATGCGGATTATGAATGGCAGGAGGGGCCAGGGGGTTGCTGTGCATAGCTTCCTGAAAACATTGAAGCATCTTCTCAAGAGTCCTCAGCCATGACGCAAGCAGTGTCCTGACTATTGAGAGGAGTTATGCAAATATCAAAATGATTGGTGAATGTGAGTCTGGAGGAGTAAACAGGCTGAATTTCCATTCACACCATAGGTAATGCTCACTTGTGAAGATGAACCCCATTATGATTGAAGGAACTGAAATCCAATGTATGAAAGAGGCAGGCAAGGGCATTGGGGAAGGGCAAGATGATGTATCCAGCAAAAAAAATGATGGTCTTTATTGACTTGCTGCAGTTTCTAATGCACAATGTCAGAAGCTCACAGTGTGCAGAGAAATCAGAATAAGCAATTTCAGCACAGGAGAGCAGCCTGTACAACTGTGCAAGACTGGAATTAAGGCTGGAGGCCAAAAACATTGCTTAAATATATACGCCATGCATAATGTATACAAACATAAACCTATAAAGGCAAAGCTTACTCTTGTACCTATATCTATACTTTTGCACATTTTCAATTTATGATCATATAGCAACACACATCTGAATTCATAGATGAAGTGTAAGTGACTGAGAGCTATATCCTTTCTACAATCTAAGCTGACGCTTAGGAAAAAAAAAGAGAAATCGCCACTGTTATCTGACAGATTTGGAGGCTGTGAAAACACAAAGAGAACACACAGGTCTTTTGGTTATTTCATGCATTTGTTGTCATGTTGCCAATATAAAAGACCCTTTGTCTTCATGCAGATAGCAGGTCTCAGTCTCAGAAGCGTGCGTTTCTATTCCCACCGGGCTTGGGCTGGATCCTGCACTGCGTTCTTATAAAATTATTCATGTGCTTAGTGGGTCTCCAGCAGGAAAACACTGCACAGCGTGGGCCATAAAATATTAATGTCTCCTGTAGCCTAGGAATGGAGCATGCTCACAAGCCTGGGGGCAGGTGAGAGGGAGGCAGGGAGAGGGCTTAAGGTGAAGGTTATGAAAAAACGGAACGCAAAGAGAAAGGGATACTGAGAAGGGTACAGAGCAGAACTTTGAATAAGGACTCAATAGGATGATGAATACAGCTATTGATCTCACAGCACTGTTTTAAAATATATGCAAAATTCATCTACATTGTGCTCTGCAAACCTGCAAAATGAAAGCTAAAGTCTTTTTCTGTAAGCAGCATTCGCTCATGACTGCTACAGAAAAAATGCTGCTGACTGCTGATGTCAATAAAGAATATAATAGTAAATATACTATCAATATAGGGAGGTTGATTGTTCTACTACAGTGCCCAGCAGAATATGTACAGATCTGCTTACAATCCTACACTAAGAACATGGCCCTCCTTGTATTATTATTATTATTATCATACATCATTTATATAGCGCCAGAAGGTTTGCTCAACGCTGTACACTATAGTGGGGGACAGAACATGAGACAATACAGTAACAAAAAAATAAACGAGGGGTTCGAGGGCCCTGCTCTTTCAAGCTTACCAACAGGTACATCTCCAGCATAGGTATTCCATTCCTATTCAGCTCATTGAGGGTGTCACACTTGATGACCATACCTAGTAGGCCATACCTAGGAAATAGAAGCTGCCTCACTATTTGGTAACAATACAATTAGTAAAACGACCCAAGGGGGTCTTTGTCATGGATTACTACACACCATTGCTCTGTGCGTTGATTTATAAATAATCTCCCATGTGCAGCATATGTTAGATCTGTGTTTCTCAACCTTTTTTCAGTCAAGGCACCCTTTAAAATTATGGACAGTCCCAAGGCATCCTTTAAAATTATGGAGTCCCGAGGCAGCCTTTAAAATTATGGAGTCCCGAGGCACCCTTTAAAATTATGGACAGTGCCGAGGCACCCTTTAAAATTATGGACAGTTCCGAGGCATCCTTTAAAATTATGGACAGTCCCGAGGCATCCTTTAAAATTATGGACAGTCCCGAGGCATCCTTTAAAATGATGGAGTCCCGAGGCACCCTTTAAAATTATGGAGTCCCGAGGCAACCTTTAAAATTATGGACAGTCCCGAGGCACCCTTTAAAATTATGGACAGTGCCGAGGCACCCTTTAAAATTATGGACAGTTCCGAGGCATCCTTTAAAATTATGGACAGTCCCGAGGCATCCTTTAAAATTATGGACAGTCCCGAGGCATCCTTTAAAATGATGGAGTCCCGAGGCACCCTTTAAAATTATGGAGTCCCGAGGCAACCTTTAAAATTATGGACAGTCCCGAGGCATCCTTTAAAATTATGGAGTCCCGAGGCACCCTTTAAAATTATGGACAGTCCCGAGGCACCCTTTAAAATTATGAACAGTCCCAAGGCACCCCTTAAAATTATGGAGACCCGAGGCACCCTTTTAAATTATGGACAGTCCTGAGGCACCCTTTAAAATTTTGGACAGTCCCGAGGCAACCTTTAAAATTATGGAGACCCGAGGCACCCTTTAAAATTATGGACAGTCCAGAGGCACCCTTTAAAATTATTGAGGCACGCCATTCTAAAATGTGAAAAACTATTCTAATAGTTTTATATAACACAGCAACATCCACACATGTAGGACGCCCAACATTGGAGGTGGTGTATTCTTCCAAAGCAAATACACTTTTGCACTCTGGTACTGAGCAGTATTTCACTTTCTCTTCTCTCTCAGTATTTCACCATCACTGAGCTAATGTGATCCCAGCACTGATAGAGAGGGGTAGGGAAGGGTCAAACTAGGATTCTGTGCAGGTGAATGGTTGTCAGGAAGCCGGTGGGTAGAAGGTCATAATAATACACAATGAAAACTTGTGGCTTTGTGTACTTAAAAGGCAGGATTGTTCCACCCGCTGGCTTGTATGTAAGTTTTGGGCAATTTGTAGACATTTTGCCAAGGCACCCCTGAAGAAACCTCAAGGCACCCCAGGGTGTCTGGACACCCTGGTTGAGAAAGGCTGTGTTAATCATAGTTAAAATCACAGATCATAGTTAGATCATAGTTAAGACTGCAACATATATGTGCCTAACGTATCATTCTTTTGCTTCATATGCTGTATCAAATAACAACACATGCCCCTTAAAGTGGCTTTAAACCTTTACATATACCCAGTGAAATTACTGGCCTCAGGTGATTAACAGACATGAAACAAATCCTCCTACATAAACTGTACCTTTTTATCTTCAGTCAGTTTGTAATTGTATTCAAATCTGCTAACGCATTTAACGCTCCCCATCCCCCACCTGACAATGCTGTTGTCTGCTGTGTCCTGTGCTAATTTCTCCAGAGTGGTGTCTCACTAATACAGGAGGTGTGTTACTGGCCAGATCACCAGGGGAAAACAGAAGAAAAAAAGCCAAAGAAAAGCAAACTGATGCAACCACCACATCTAATGATTAATAAGCTGCAATATAATACGCTATTGGTTTGGGGTTTAATACCACTTTAAATAGAAAGCTGACCATACACTAATAGTTTTTCATCCTGAAGGATGAACCAAAAGAAATCTAAGAGATTTGTCCTTTCCCAATAAATAGCACGGATGGACAAATCTCATGCTGAGGCTTCTGTTTTCTGAGAGTTAGTGCTGATGGCAATGAATGTTGTTTATTGGCTTCCATCACTGTTTAACTGAGAATTATATGTCCACTCCTTTGATTTCCAGATGGAAGGATGTTGGATGGTAGGGTGCTGACAGGGCCATCCACTACTCAATTTGTGGCCAGTTCATCTGTTGATGAACTTCGACCAATGATGAGCTTCATCTGCTGTTGAATTTCAGTCAGTTGTTGCCATTCAATCAGTATATAGCCAGCAATAAAACCTGGAACTTGATTGGTTTCTATGCACAACTGCACTAGATTTTGCATGCTCCAATTTCAGTAAATAACCTTCCATGTGTCATGTGAAAGCAGAAAGTCAAGGAGCCATGATGCTTCCAGGGATACCGCTGGAATGGCGAGGTATGCAGGTAAGTATTTACAGATGGGGGGGGGGGGGGGGCAGGTAGTGGGGAATTTTTTGCCTTAATGCATAGAATGCATTGAGATAAAAAAAAATCACTTAGACTTTAAAATTACTTTAAAAGGTCCATCAAATGGTAGTCAACCCAAATAATCTGACATTCGAGATGCTTAAATAATTGTATAAAATATAATAATATAACGCATAATAAATAACGTATATCAAAGAAGTGATAGAAGCACTCCTCAATATCTTCCACAGGTGAGGGTGGAGATTGATAGGATAAAAACAACCTGCTTGTGAGATAAAACTATTTGAAGAAGATGTTACTGTCACATCCTCTGATTTGTTTGTTGACTTTAACAGTTGTAAGGGTCGAACTGAAGAGCATGTGTCCACATGGTTGGGTGTATAGGTCACCAAAAAAATGCACCATTGAAAAAAAAATATATACAAGAGGGAGTGTCCAAGATGGCGACTGGAGCTCCGGCGCTATACAGCGCAATCTGCTGCCATCCAGGCGGTAATGGGCTCCAAGGGGTCACCGGAGGTCCTGCGGCCCCTGCCTGACATCCGAGGAGGGGTGCTGGATGCTTTTGTCTCTCCCACGGAGCTCCGGGCATTTGCGGCATACCGTGGCCAGCGCAGCCTCGGTCTTTACTGCGGTCGCGGCCGGAGCGAGACAACGCCGCTCCGCCCCCCAACCCTCTGCTATCGGGCCCGCCCCTGGGGAGGTCTGTGTGTGGCCCCCTGGCCTCTCCATTAGCTCCGGGGTTCACACCGGGCCTGCACAGTCTGCAATAAGGCCTGGAGGCCCAACGTGGTGGAGGAGAAGCCCCTGACAGGACTGGAGGCCTACCCCTTTCTATAGGGGATGAATTAGAGGCTTCTGTGCCCCTTTTGCGGGCCTTCAATGCTGCCGTCCGCCTGGCTTGGCTGTCGTGGACCCACTTGCCCCATCTGGTGCTGAGACCCTGGGGCCTACGCTCGCTCCGCTTGGCACTTCATCACCCTAAGGAAGGTATCGTTCAAGATACAATTTCAGCCTATACCTACTCCTCCCCCTCAATTGTGACAATTTTTCTACAATTTAATGGCTATGGCGGGACGCATGAGGTGCTCCGCAGCAATCGTTCTTATGTAAACGAAACCCCGCTGGGGGACACGCACGCGTAGCCAGGGAAGATGACCATTTGATCTCCCTGTACCGCGTCACCGGAACATCTACCTCGGCAATAGGGCTTCTACACCCCTGCATGTAATCTCTACCAGCTGTAGGTGCTTGTGCAATACCTGGGCTTCACCTAAAAATGCATTGTACCCCACGCACCAAACCCAAACACCGGGCCCAGCAGCAATCTCCTCTACATAGTCACACTGCCAGATAATGCCCAGCCCCCCAGAGCCTGACGACGTTATGCAGCTTACCGGGGATCCGGAGTCGGATGGCGATAGTCAGCAGCAATTCCCCTCGGGTCTGACCGGCCCCCTTGAACAAAACCCTGAAGCCTTACTACACAAATTCCGCACCATAGTGCGAGAGGAGATCACAGTTGCCTCTCGTAAATTATCGGCTGATCTGGTAAGAGGCCTAAAAGAATTGGGTCACCGTGCCCATCAATTAGAACAACGTATGGATCTGGCAACTACGGTCTTGGAGGGCCACGAAAAGGAGGTGGATGATCTGCATGCTGAGCTGGACACTTTAAAAGATAAATTGGAAGATGCTGAGAATAGGGCCCTCAGAGACAACCTCCCATACACGGGGTTCCTGAGGTAATCACTGGTCTACAGGGTACAGCTACCGCCCTCTTCCAGGAACTGGCTCTCTGAGATCCCCTTGGAACGACTGGAATTTGACCAGCTCTTAAACCCTCGGAGGGCCCTCCAAGGGACATAAACATTAAATTCCATTTTTACCGCACCAAACAGCATCTACTACAGGCAGCTCGGAATCGTCCGGCTCTGGAAATTCAGAGTAACTCCATTCAGCTGTTTGCGGATTTGTCTCCAGTCCTGATTGCAAAACGTTGTACCCTGAGACCCTACTTTCAGATTCTACAATCAGCTGATATCAAATACAGATGGGGTTTCCCTTTCAAGCTCTCTTTCTCCTTTCAAGGTCATCAGTTCCAAGCTTCTTCACCTGCGGATCTTCACCGCCATTTTCAGGAACTGAAACTGGAATTACCACGCTCCCAGACTGAGGAGGCTACAGTTTCCACATGCCCGTGGGGCTCCCAATCTTCACATAAATCATCTCCTCCAAGCCAGAGTAGCTCTCAGGCTCTTCAATCTTTACAGGCCCAGCGTTTCCAGGAGGTTTCTTTTTACTTTTTGAGATGCGGGCGACCCTGCTCACAGATGTTTCTACGCAGCTATGTCATGTCGCACTTTTTTCGCTGCAGCCAATGCCTCAATAACCATGCTAGTTCTGTATAGATGCTTCTATTTATGTTGATAGGCAGAACCGGCGGTGGATCTCAGGCCGCGGGTGTGACTCTGTTCACTGGTCGGGCCCGTGAGTGGTTTCACTCCTCCGGTTATTTTGGAGTCTCTTCATTTTTGAGGCTTTGGCTGACTGAGATTCCTATTGCCTTAGGAGTCACTTATAGACCACCTATTCATGGGTGTATTAGCCTAAGCTGTTTGCTTTGTGTTTTCTTGTTTTTACTAAGTCGAGTTGTTCCGGTGGACTATTGTGTTCCCCTCCGAGCTGGCTAGTGGTCTGGATTGGTGTCCTGCCCGCTACCTAGCCTCTTTGTGGGTATATCACCCACAGTTGATTATTACGATGTTTGTACTAATCTTACTGTTTCACATGCATATTGCTCATATACCAGATGGTTTCTTGTTTTCTTCCTTCTTTTCCATCTCCTTTTCTTTGCTCTTTGTCCTGTGTGTTTTTGTACATTTTTTTTTAGGGCTCTCGGGGATCATGGCGGATTTGATCTTCCTTCTGATCGCCATGTCGTTGAACTGGTTATCTTTGAATGTTCAGGGAATGAACTCCCCGCAAAAAACGGGTAAAAATATTTAAGTTTCTCTGGGCTTGCCATGTCGATATTGCTTGTCTGCAGGAAACTCATTTCTCAACTACCTCCGCCCCAAAATATTTTGATGCACGCTACCCTCAGGTATTTCAGGCTACTGGCCCTACCAATCAAAGGGGAGTTCTTGTTGCTTTTCACAGCAAAACCCCATTTGTCTGTGTGAAACGTATTGCTGACCCCAGTGGCAGGTATCTTTTATTACAGGGCACGATTCAGGGTACAGATGTCACAATACTGACCTACTACTCTCCCAATGTCAACCCTGGACCCTTTCTATCACATATCTGCTCCCTCCTGGCTGTCCATCAACGGTGTACCCTTTTGATGGCAGGAGATTC